ATTATTTTTTTTTTGGTTTAGTACATATGTATTTACTAATATTTGAACTATGTTATGCATTTTTTTGAAGTCAAAATATGTAAAAGTCTAGTAATTATACGTTGTTAAAGTCATTTTTAAAGACCATGTCTTCATTGTTGACAAAACTAAAGTCTAAAACACAATTGCAAGTTTAATATAGTGTATAGTATATCAAGTAGTGTATAATATATCATATATTAAGTATATTTAATTTTTGTTGTATTATAATATAATTTATAATTATAAATTTTGTTGTATTATATATAGCACTTGAATTTACTGGTGGAGTGCCTTTTGATATCATAAAACCTGTGTTAGAGCGTGCAACACCAGATCAACTGTTCATGTTAGAACATTATAATCCTTATTTAATCGAAGATACTGATCGTTTGTGGGAGTTCCACTGTAATCGTCAGTTTAGAAACAAAGAAAGAGAAGAGATGGAAACATGGCGTGAGATGTACATGGTATATATTTTTTAATGCAGTTTTGAAACATAATTATATTTAAAATAATATAAATTTGTATGTTATATCTATAGTACATATATACATATAGTTTTTTAACACAATATTTTACCTTAATTACATAAGTTTTAATTTTTCTGACATATTAGCGCTGTTTGGATGAGAGAGAAGCAAAGCTAAAAACGCTCACGGCTAATATAAAACAATCAATTGATAAATCTCTCCCTGTAAGATCTACAAAACTTGCATATGTAGATAACGTTGTCAAACCTCCGAGGAATGTATTGAAAAAACAAGCTAAATATGGAACTGCAAATTCTGTACCCAGCACTACATCTAGTTTAAAGAACAAATTAATTAGTGGCGGAGGCCCTACATCTGCAACAAATATATCTGTCCCACCACCACCTATATCTCGTGCAAAAACATGTAAGTATCTACTTCTTTATGTGACAAATTTTTGGAATATAAATATTATTTTAATATTTTATACATCTTATACATAGTTATTGTATAGATATTTTACACTACTTTTCATTAAATATATACTGAATATCTTTAAAAACGTCAATATTACAAAATTATATATTTGTATTAAATATTTTTATTTGTTTTATTAGCTTCTGGTAGTATGAAGAAAACAAAAGCACCTCTAATGGCAAAAGCTCTACAATTAATAAAAGGACGTTATAAGCGGTAGTTTCTACAATTTTTATTAACAATTGATTATTTAAGTAAATTATGTATCAATTTATAATGCATTTTGCGTTTATGCACATGTATCATAATGATATCAGTCATATCAGTTTGTACGTTTGGTTACTTCGTTAACTGACAAAAGTGTGTACTTTGAACAAAATGTATTAAAAAGTATACCTACTGCATAGGTACTCCAAGAGTTTAACCATTTGATCATATATATAACGACAGTATGTGAAAATAATTGTGCAGTGCTTTTAAATCTATTATAAATGTAATCGGATTCATAAATTGTACAGGTAAGGAAATCAGAATTTTTTGATAATTAAGGGGTTCAGGGAATGATGGTGTCATTTTACAAATGTGAGATTTGATTTAATTAAATCAAGTTTAAAGTATTTCTGTAACAAATATAACTTATGTAACATACATTTCGCATCCTCTTTGTATTTTTTTATTCTATGATATAATATAAAACAATAAAATAAGGAGTATATGAATGAACATCATGTATCACTTTCAGTTATAATAATAATTGAATTCTAAAAATGTTATACAATGCTTTCATTCTCTGAACTCTTCAAGTTATACATGAGTTTGAAGAATTAAAAAGAAATATGTGATGAATTGTGACATTCTGTATTCAAAAAAGTGATAACAGGCTTAATAATTTAAATTCCCCAGAAATAAAACTTAAATCAAATTCAACTGACAACTATAAAATACACGTGATCACTGTGCTACATTATATTTTGTTTGGTAATGTTTGTTAATGTAAAAAAGTACCTATTTATACACAATTTCTAGTTGTGTATATGTTAAATATAACCCATTTGTTGCTGTGTCTCATAAGATTACTGTTGTAAATATTTATTTATGAAGAAGTATAAAACAGAAGAATAACAGAATAAATACCTTATAACCAGAAGAGAATAAATGTGAACCATTGATGATATTGAGCATTATAAATCTACATAAAGATGGAACATGTTAATAAAACATATAATTATACATTGAAGAATACTTTCTTAATTGTAATGAAAATCAATTAGGATTGATAATGTTTAGAAAATTATAATGTTAAATTATTTTAGTATCTAGAAATAAGCTGCATTCAAAAAGTTTTCAGAGGGTTCCTTAGCGGATCACACATCTGAGAATTTGTGGTCATAATTTAAAGATATTAAAAATGATTTAAAGATGTAGGTGGACAAATATACAAGTAATAAAAAGTAAAAATATTAATATTTTTGTAAGATTTTCTTTGAGTAACAGATCATAATTAAGTGATTGTGTAAAATTAATGTTATTTTTATCCGTAATATGCATAATTTATTCGGAATTTATAATGGAATATATAAGTTTAATGTAGACTTTGATTTTTTAAAACATATTTCGTGTTGAAAATAAGTAACCTGTCAGCTTCAATCATAAATATATGATTTAACATGTTGACTGCTAAACCAAACATTTTATATAAGATGTTACTTGTATGATTACCGGCATATATAAAAAGGAATTTAATCATATTTATGATATTAATCAATATTATTTTGCAAAATGGAAGTATTTTAAACGGGTAATATTTCTATTCAATTATCATTTTCCAAACGTAAAACAAATAATAGATGATATTTGGAGCATTATTACTTCATGCAATAGGGTAATTTAATTACTTACCAGTGAATATGAATATGTACTTGAATAATTAAAGCATCATTTCAAATTATATAAGTTCGGTCGGTTTTTATACATTTCCTTATACATTTCTGTATAGCTGACATTATAGCATGTGTAGTGCCGGCTTTGAACAGGGTTTTATTATTAGGGTTTTGTTGAAATCTGCGAGATATGGTAAAGAATATATTTCTTTATGCATAGCACGTTTAAAGTAATTGTACGTATATATTTTAATATAAAACTTGATTTTTTATATAAGTTTAAGTATAATTATATATATCTTTTCCATATAAAAACTCAAGTTTGCAGCTTAGCTATATTGAAATGACCGTTAGAGGTATATATTACAATCAACATGTTAAATAATCATTTGGAATGTGTTTTAGTAGAGATAGTATATTTGGAGAAATTTAATATGATTTTTTTTATTGAAAGAATGAATATAGTTGAATATATTCTACGCCGTTTTATTTACGAAAATTCTAACTATTGAATTGCAGTATACCTATAATAATGTACATATATACGCAGTATATTACAGTGATAACAATTTTATCGCATACAGTACTGTTTTATTTATTGTGTAATCCATAATTGTGTATCAAATAAGTATCAAATTCCATTTTATAAATGAAACAAAAATAGTTTTTTGATTTCATCTATTTAATACCGAATAAATTTGGATACATTCCCGGAATGTAAAACAATTAAAGAAGATAAAAAAGTATGTCACAAATAATTTTATATTTGTTGTATGTAATAAACTGTGGATGTTTATGCAAATGTCCAATTTTAGATATTAATTTATAAAAAGGATAATTAGTCAGAACTTTATTTGCTATATGACGGGTTTTATTGTATTTATAATATACATATATACAATGCTAAACTCCATTACAATTTTTACTTTATTACGTTTTACCGTCTAAGGAACATTGTAAATGCATAAACATCCGCAGTATAGAAATAAGCTAATATTGCAAAAAAAGACATATGTATATTGTAATTAAAAAAAATTAAAAAAGCAGCTGAAAACTAAACAACTGAATATCATTATTATTGTACACTTCTACAACAAACCTGTTTATTTTTTTATTAATTTACTTTGTAAAAAGAAAAGTAAATTCAACAACATATTCTAGTTATAGTTAAGTAAATATAAAATATTATATTTAATATTTTTATTTATTGTTAATAAAACTATAAGTTACGTGCTTATTATTCAGTACATTAATTCATTAAAATCACAACTAATTGTTTTATATTTTCCAAGTATTAATTATTGTTATTATATTGTAAGAATAATTATTAATGGTACATACATTAATAGAGTCGGTGGTTTTACAATACATAAATAATAGGACAAGAAAAATTTCCACATGGAATACTAATTATACTTTATGAAGAAAATGACATCGATTTATTAGATCCAAGAAAATTTATTGTTTTCTCTCAAAGATGTTTTAGAAATATGCATATATTTATGGACAAATTGAATATTCTATCCATACATACTTAATTTAAAATTATAAAAATAAGATTGCAATCCGATTTATACAATAAAATTTGCTTCATTATCTTAGTGTCTTCTTGAAATCAAATGGATTGCAGTACACACGATAGTACGGATTATAATAAAATTATTATAAAATAGCTTTTGATGTAAGTACGTGTAACTGTACTTATGTACTACAGGGCTGTATTGTTATACTTTTAACATTAAGTAATTATAAATAGATTACTATTATAATAAATATTATTATAAATATAAATATAAAATTGCCGTAGAAAGTGTAAATGACCTTTTATGTTAGCATGAGCTTGCAATGGAGTATATTAACCGTTCCAATTGAAGATAACGTGAGCGATCATTAGGTACATAGTTACTGTCGTGGTACTTGTCAACATAACTGGAAATCCAACCCTAAAAAGTATATACTGGTAATTGAAAATATTTGTTAAATTAAAAAATCATTACATTGGAATATTTTAAATCATAGTAGCCTAAAAATACCTCGTAAAAGCGCAAGATAATTAAAATCAGAGAACTTACTTGAAGAATTGCATAAATGAAAATCTGTATCCATGTTGCTCTGCAATTCCTACACAAACTACGTTAGAGCTTGCTCCAATCAGAGTTCCATTCCCTACAAATATTAATCCGTTCAACCACATAAATAACATCAATATCGATGTTCGTTGAACTTTCACCAGTTAATGAGTTGTTGTGTAGTAAATGAGAATAGTATAATATTACGAATTAGATCGCAGTTTAGTAAGAGAATGTATTTCTTTAAACATGGAAGAGACAGAACTTTTTTCCTACGATGCAACATTCGCTCCAGTTTTTGTTGAATTACGAGTAAATATGTAAATCATTTAAATAATTAATTCAAAATTTGGTAATCTGTTGGTTTCCATATTTATCCGCTCAATTAACACATTGCGTACCGGCTAATTTTCAGAAGACTGAATTGTGCGGATGGCAATTTTCACTGAGGTCAACTTATATCACTATACATAGAAAAACTCAGATATCATATTGTTATGTAATATATTTTAAATAGATAATCAATTCGAATTACATTTTATATTTTTTTCAATGCTGTGGTAATTAGCGAAGTTGCATAGCTAAATGTCTTTATATAAAAACGAGATTTCTCGTTACCGGTACGCAATGTGTTAATTGCAAGATGGAGCAGTTGGATATACTATCGTCGGTTTACTTTGATTTTGAGATACTTATTAATCGAAATATTTAAAATCGTCATTTTGTGTTGAATGCTTGTAAATATGAACGTAGTTAAAAAATTCTTTGAATTTCCTTACCTCCCATACAAGCGCCAAAGGCTAAAGCCCATATTAAGGGTTGTAGCGGTAGTCCAAGTGCACTGTTTTGTGATAGATTGGTTACGATCCTTATCATCATAGTTGACAGAGGTACGTTATCAACGAAAGCACTCGCAAATGCTGATACCCAAAGTAATAATAGTATAGCGACTGCTAACCGTGATTCTTCGTTTACTGATAAAATGATATTTTCTGTTTGCTTTCCTATCCAATCCATAAGACCCAAACGAGAAAGTGCCTGCAATATATTAAATACATTCCCGACGTTTCATTTTACAATTAATAAAATGCATAGAACATATGTAATTTAATTACCGAAGTCAGGTATAATATAAAAAGATGGGAATAATAATAAAAGTTAAACAAATTTGTACGAATAAAGAGACCATGTTTGAAATTTGAAAACAAGATGTAAAAGAAAATTGAATGATGTTTACTTTACATATAACAATTAAGAAAGCTACAATATTTATCAATTTACTTATTATATGAAGAATATAGAGTTCTAACTTAATATTCCTATAACTATAAAAATATTAATAAGTATAAATATATAGGGTGTCCAAAAGAAAAACGTTGCAATATTTATGTGGCACAGAGAAAATATGTTGTTGATAATCACGTTTAGTAACTATCTCTTTCTTTATTAAATATTTTCAAGTTGTTTATGAAACAACTATCAAATAAAAATTATTTAAACATTACCTATTAAAATTATTTAAGTATTACCTATTAAAATTATACACGAATCTTGAGATATTTCGTCATTCATCTGCCATGACATTAACATATGGAAACATATTCATTAAGGTTTTTCTTTGCTATGTATAGTGTGTTCTATCTACCCATATAAATACCACAACCTTTTCTTTGAGCACCCTGTATATTTTCAGTAAGTGCACTATACCTCCATTAAAATGAATAATGACGCGAAAAATAACAAAGTAGACCATTCTACTCGCGCCATAATTCCATCCAAGTCTTCGGTGTCCGCTATAATTAATAACAGAAGAACACCGACCAATGTGATCCAACCTAAAGAAAGATGCAGTTCCGGGATACTGTGCAGAAAGAATAGAACGATGACGAAAATCAACGTGAATCCAGATTTCACTAGTAACCACTTATCTCGAATAGGATACTGCGAACAAAAATGCACGTAACATTAAAAACAAATTTCGATTATTTAAGTCTAGATTTATTGGTATAAATTAAAAATAGATTATCTATGAATTCTATTGGAAGTCACCGAATAATCACGGTGATGGCAAGAATGAATTGCAAGTATTAAAACAACTTTAATCGTTTACAACGTACATATTAATTTACAGGAAATAGTTAATCTAGTTCGTAATTTGAAATTCCTAATGTAAATAACCACCTATAAATTTCATCAATTTTTTCTCTCGTCAGTATTTCAGAGCTTCAATTTTCAAAATGGTAAATAAACTATAAATACTTTCGGATCACTTTGCAATAATTTTCTTTATTATTTTCGGTTATCTGATTTGTGCTTGCGTCCGTATATTATAAAACACTCCGTGTTCCACCGGTCAGAACTTTCCAATTGCACTGCGAATGAGGGGAAGTAATAACTTTCTTGTTAACTAAGTCAACTTAAGTAACTGTAAGTACTTTAACTGTATCTACCAGAGGGACCTAAGAGTTCAGTGCTTCATGAGACCACTGTTGAAATTATAATACTATCTTTGTAATAAAAAAAGCTTGAGAGATAATTTCATCTAAAATCGGTAAGTAATACTGACTATGAGCCGCTTACGAGTAAAAAATAAAACAGTTTATTGAATTAAATATGTAGCACAATTTTTAATTTCTGAGAGAAAAACCTAGAACTAATTAGTATGCAACAAAAACATTTTTAGGAAGAAATTTTGCAATTATACGCATGTATTTAGGTTTCTATAGATTAAGTCAGCGTTTACTTTATGTTCAAATTAGATCTTACGTATTTTTAAATAAAATCTTCTATTTATTTCTTTTCAAAAGATTAAAAAAAAATCACGCTTCACAAAAAATTAATTCAACCTCAACGTTTTATAAAAATGAACAATGTTATTTTAATAGTAACATCGTTCTAAACAATCGATCATTAATAATTATTAGTTAAGATATTTATTCACTGGAATTAGTTAATTTACGTTTCGCAGGCGTTTATAGAAATGTATACGAATAGAATTATTACTCACTTTTTCTTGAAGTTCCTCCAACGTAGTTTCGTATCTTTCAAGCGCAACACTGCCAGTGAGTACCTTTTTCTTTAATTGGGAGAGCAACCGTTGAACTTTTTTTAGTAAAGTTTCTCTGACTAAGTTTTCGTCTTTACTGTAACTCGACAGACTTGCTGCTGCCCGTTGCCAAATAGCAATTTCGTGTCTTAACTCCTACAATAAAAGGAGACAAGAATTTTCCAGATATACATATTTTTTAAACAGAACTTTTATTGTTCTTCCATGTCATTCTAGAATAACGACGTTAAAATTAAAATTACGTTAATACAAACGTAATTCTACGCAGCATCTATTAAATTTAACCTTTCAACATTTTTAATTTAACTACATTTTCTGCTTTGGTATTTGTGTTGTAAATGTTGTTCTTAAAGCGTGTAAGATAAAACGTTAATATCATTTCCTGGATCTTTTCAATTTATGTAAAATTTGTATTTGTTTTGAAATATTATTAAGTTAAGCAGGATACTCATATGCATTAGGCATTTTAACATTGACACTACCGAACAGTTAAATTTTTTGGAATTTCTTAATAGAATTTCTTTTCAATTTCAATTTCTTTAATAACTGCTCAGAGAAACAACTGTTATTTTTTAAATAATTGCAAAAAGAAGAAATTAAGAACGGGTCACTTCGACCCGTCTGGTAGTTTTAGTGTTAAAGGGTGATTCTACAAGACAAATGAAAATGAATTCTGTTGCTATTGAATTGAATAAGGAAATCATTGAAATCATACTCACTTGCACTTCCTGTGGTTCGTCGAATCTAAGAGCGGTCACATCTCGGAAAATATATCGTAATTGAGCGTAAACTGCAATTATTACTAATATCACACCAATACTCATGTGTATTGTGAATGTACCGAAATCGACACCCTAAATGATGAAAGTATAATGCATTACAAATAGATAATAAACAGGTTTACAAACAGGAAATATAATCTAACACAAGTATATGTTGACCCTTGCATTAACAACATAAAATGACAAATTTATTCATTTCCTGTCAAAGTAATACTTAGACACTAAAGTTAAGTAGAAATTCAGTTTTTGTGGTGACTTGTTTATTATTCGATACTTACATTATTGATAACATCTCGATTGGATGCAATGATTACGTTCGGCGGATCACCTACGGGTGTCATAGCACCCCCAATGTTGGAGAAAACAACCATAGCTGTTAATATATGCACTGGATTTAATTCCATTACTTCACATAATCTGATAGTTACTGGTGTCATTAACAGAACTGTTGTAACATTATCTAGGAAGGACGAAAGGAACGTAGCGAAGAAACATAATGTACTAACAAGCGGCCATACCTTTCCTCCAGTTATCTAACAGAGAAAAACGTAATACAGTAAATCACACGAATATCCCGACACAGAAATGTATTTCACAATTGCGTATACGATGCCATTTACTGTGAATAATATATTATTTAGTGAACTTCTTTTTATTATTTGTACTTGCCTTATAAGCAAATACCGCCAACCAATCGAATATGCCAGTTCCAGCAATAATGGCGACAAGTATCATCATGGAAAACAGTAGCATTAATGTATCGACGTCTATCCATGAAATCACTTCGCTCATTGTTGGCCTCTGTAATTGAAAATCATTTGATTTCTTAAATTTATCGGATTTCATAAATAATATGTGTGTAGGAACTATTTTTAACTTTATTTGATTAAAACCTATTCATATTGCACGTGATTTACGGAGTCTACGATTTACTCTCTAAATATTATTACGTAGAATACCTCATTTAAAGCTGCTAATATCGCGATGGACATTGTAGACGCTAGCATCGCAGCAAGGGTTCTATGTACAATCTGAAATCGTTTGAAAATCGAAATAACGTATCAATATAATGTTTCATGGATTAATAAATTCATATAAATTTTTAGTAATTTTTATTATTAGTTTCATTTACATAGTGCGTTTTGTTTTCCATTATGCATGTTTATATAAATAACATAGTCATACATAAAACTTCAGCAATAAGTGATAATATTTTTCAACATCCTACCTAAGTGTATTACTTTATACATTAATTACTTTGATTTTAGCTAATATGCTTTGTCAGATGATTATAAACATAATAGATTATTTATTAGTACACTTGTTACTTATTAGTGCAATATGACCTTATAACACGATTATCAACTTGAAACCTTTAGATCACGTATTTCATAAATTTTCATGCAGCTATGTATTAAATGCAAAGAATTTTTGGTAATCACAATTGATCTATTTGTTTTTTAATGACCAAGTCACTGCTAGGCATTTAACTACTGCAAATAATTTACAGTGGTAATAATTATTACTACAAAGCTGCTACAAATGCTCTTAATAATTTGGATCCCTTTTAGACTCGGAGGAAAAAATTCTTTCAACATCTATCAACTGTATCTGCAGTCAGTGTTGAACAAAATTTTATTCAGATACGGAATAAAAAATCTGAACAACGAATAAAATGTTATTAGTTATTCGAATATTTGAGTTGACTACATAGTATGCGCATATCTTGATTCTTTTGTGATTTCCTACGTTGGCATCATTCTTTTTTCATGATACCATATTATTATCATTGTTTAATAGATAGTAAATATTAAGTACCTCAAATATTATTAATATGTATAATCCCAGTAAAACTATAGCGGCGTATGCTATACCGATATTTTTGTTTATCAACGACAAGTCGTAACTTAGGGACACTGCGAAACTTGTTTCCAAATTTGTTTCCAGATTAATCGACAGCACATCCTCTTCTAATGTGCTAAAAAGTACAATGCAAATTTTTAAATAATTGACTTACGTGTTATATCTGTTAAATAAGGACACCAGTTTTGTTGTTTAACATTTTGAAGATAATATATCAGAATATAACGATATATCATCTAATAAACATATTACATCTTTCAACTTGATCCACCTAATTAATTTAACTTTTATCATTTTATAAAAAGGAGGTAGGTGATTTAATATATTACGTAATTGTACTTTCTTAAATTCTGGGGGATATTTTTTCGAATAAAAAATAAATACAGAAAAAATGAAAAAATCTATTCAGGCTACCTTATATCAACGTTTTCCAATTCAAAAATTTTGTGGTGCCTCTGTCCAGGAAATATGTCCATCAGATTTTCGGGGAGCACTGGTAGCATCCATAATTCGCTGACATTCTACACACCAAATGTATAAGAAAGTGATAAAACTAAATATACGTAGCAATAAATTTGTCTAAATCCCAATATACGTAGTATTTGCAAATACAGCAAGAGGTTTCTTTGCGCGTGTTCAAATAGTATTAAATATTTATTCTATATTTTTTGGAAAAGAAATACTCTAGCTATATTTTTGTTATTGTTTCCTTTGTTAAATAATAAATTTATTACAAGTCGCAAAATAAAGTTCATTAATATGTGATTAAGTCTTAAATAAATTAAACTTTAACAAAAATTAAAATTAAAATATTCAGATTAAAAGTTATACTCGAACAGTCATATAAAATCGTGTATCGATAATATGGAATTTAATGTTTTTTTAGATAGAACGCGAATAATAACGGAAGATATATGTTATATTTTATTGCATTCGATAAAATGGAAGTTCGAGCAAGGAGTTACTACGTTTAAAATAATATATCATTATTAATTAGTAATTAGTCGAATGTAAGCATTTTTTTCATACTGTACATTATATTAACAATAATTTTCTTTGAAAATGTATTACCTTAAAGCGATGGGAAACTTCAATTGAAGATTTATTGGTAATATCTGTTTCACTTTCTGTTAATTCGAGCCACATCATTAAGTATCTCTCAGATATATTCCGGTCACTGGTTAATTTAGCAGGTGGCAATAGTGCACCTTCTACGACGACATTAATCTGTTTGCTCAAAATATCCCCATGCAATTTGTAATCTATGAATACGTAATATAAGGAACGATGCAACAGTAATATGGAAGTTTCTGTATCAAACTCCATTATAACGGAACTTTCATTTGTCATGAAATCTTTATGACCAAAAATTAGTTGAATATACTTCCTTTTAAGGTACATTTGATAGCGGAAGCAAAGTGAATACTATAGTAATTTAAAGCTACTGATTCGATTTGCATGTTCAGTCGCATACGAAAGATAAGCTGAAGAAAAACGTTTTGTACGTCAAATTTAACCCTTTGCACTCGAAGGGCGCCTTACAGTCGCCACCTGATTCGACGCAGCAAGCTTATAAAATTTTCAAATTAATATTAAACCTTGTGTAATCGAAGTAAAATAGTTCTGTCTCTTAATTTATAGAAGATAATCAGTTGTGTTAGTTGCGAAAAATATCGTTAATATTTAGTCAGAAAGTAATGAATATTTTTAATGAAAAATATTGTCGAGTGCAAAGGGTTAATATTTATCGTTATTCGTTTTTTAATTAATATTTAAGTAGTAATGTTAAATTGTTTAACAGAGAAAAAGGATACTGCGTATTTGACCCGCCGGTATGGAAATCTGATGCATCGTTTCAATCTTTTCACTCTTGATCATCAATATCAACTGCAATTATAAAATACAGGAGTATATGATGGTACTGTAACAAATGATCTTTTACGTTAGTAATGAAAAGTGCAGTTGTAGTATTCCTATAAAGTAAATAATTTTAAAAATACGATCTGCGTTTTTAGTGGAACCAAAAGATTCTTTGAGTCAGGAAAGTCGAATACGAATTTTTCCTTTATACTCGTATGAAAGATATTTACTGAAATAGCAAAAAATTTTGTGTAAACTTACCGTGAATATTAGCCAACAACAAAACAGTAATGTTAATTTCGTATAACGATAGAGTGGTCTTTGTGTAGTTTCTTGAGAATCATTTAGAATATCTGGATTTGTATCTTCATGCTGCAGTCTAAAATTTGTTGTTTTATTATCACATAGAAGTATGATAGCGATACAATAATTCTTACGTAATATAACCTATCCATAGCAAAAATAAGTGGTTAATTGTTTTAATGTATTGTTGAATGCACCTTTAAGTCCTTTTTTGTAAATAGGATCAAATTTATAGCTGATTTATCAAAGTTTATAGCATAAGAAAAGTAGCTTACGATAAATGTTTATTGATTAATTGATGCAAAGATATTACTTGTATTGAATTTGGGTTGTAA